TTTTTCACTGGCTCAGCTCTAAATGGTTATTTAAAAAGTTGTCCTGGGGAAAATAAACTGGGAACTTATGGTGGGAAATCTAGGCCCAGGTCCTTATCTAAATGTCCAGAGTTTGGGTGTGAGCAGATTGTCATGTCACAATGCTATGTGAACATGTGTCTCTGATTTCAATTCTGTGGAGGACTTACCCAGAAGTAGAATTGCTAGATCAGATGGTAACTCAGTTCCCAATTCTTTGAGGAACTGCCATGTTGTTTTTCTTCCCACGAACGTGATTTTATATTCCCAGCAAAAGTGCACAAGAGTCCCAAAGGGTGTTTTCATTTTCTTTCTTCTTCTTCTGCTTCTCCCCAAAGCTCCCGAGTACATAGTTGTGTATTCTATTTGTGAGTGTCTCTGGTTGTGTTATGTGGGATGCCGCCTCAGCATGGCCTGACGGGCGGTGCCATGTCCACACCCAGGATCCGAACCAGCAAAACCCTGGGCCGCTGAAGAGGAGCCCGCAAACTTAACCGCTCAGCCACAGGGCCGACCCCTGTTTTCATTTGCTTGTTGGTGTCTTTTGAAGCACAAAAGTCATTAAATCACCTTTTCCCCCTCCTTTTTGCTCTTGGTGTTATATCTAACCATTCTCTGTCAAATTCAAAGTCAGGAACTTTTTCCTATGTTTTATCAATTGTGATAGTTTTACACTTATGTTTAGGTCTTTAATCCTTCTTGGTAAATTATTGTATGTGGTGTGATATGTGTACAACCTATTTCTTTGCATGTGGCTAACAATTGGTCCACCACCAATTTATGAAAAGAATGTTCTTTCCCCATTCCTGGCGCTTTAAAAAATCAATTGAGCATAGATTGGGCACAGTGGGTTTATTTCTCAAATAGCAATCTATTCCAGAGATCAGTATGTCTAACCTTGTGTCAGCACCACATTATCTTGATGACCACTGCTTAGTACAAAGTGGTGATATCAGGAAATATTAGTTCAATCAGCTTGTTTTTCTTTATCAAGAATAGTTTGGCTAAGGCCAGCCCCAGTGGCCTAGTGGTTAAATTCAGGGCACTCCACTTAGGTGGCCCAGGTTCAGCTCCTGGGAGTGGATCCACACCACTCATCTGTCAGTGCCATGCTGTGGTGGCAGCTCGCATAAAAAAAGAGGAAGATTGGCAACAGATGTTAGCTAAGGGTGAATCTTTCTGAAAAAAAAAAAAAATGGTTTGGCTATTCTGTTTCCCTGCAATACTATATAAATTTATGAACCAACTTCCCAATTTTGATAAAGAAATCAGCTGGGATTATGTGCTATGTTCACTCTTCAGATAATTTTGGGGAGACGTGACATTTCAACAGTAAGTTTTCTGATCCATGTAATTGGAACATTTTCCAGTTTATTAATACCTTTATTAATTTCTTTTGATAATGTTGGTAGTTTTCATAGCATTTGTTTTGTAATCTTTGTGTTAGATATATTCCCATGTATCCTATTCCTTCCAATACTTTTGTAAATGCATTTATTTTCTTAATTTCATTATCAGATTGTTCATTGCAAATATATAGAAATACAATTCTTTTTTTTGGGGGGGGGAGATTAGCCCTGAGCTAACATCTGCCAATCCTCCTCTTTTTGCTGAGGAAGCCTGGCTCTGAGCTAACATCTGTGCCCATCTTCCTCTACTTTATATGTGGGACGCCTACCACAGCATGGCTTGTCAAGCAGTGCCATGTCCGCTCCCGGGATCTGAACTGGTGAAACCTGGGCCGCCAAAGCAGAATGTGTGCACTTAACCTCTGCGCCACCGGGCTGGCCCCATACAATTCATTTTTATGTTTTGAGCTTGTATCCTACAACACTGCAGAATTCAATGATCAGTTCTAACAGTTTTTTGGTATACTTCTCAGAATTTTCTGTATGCAAATGTAGGTGCGGAAAAATTTCCCCTTCTTCCCTTCTAGGTTATTTGGTTGGTCTAATAATTAAAGCGACATAAGACAGACTAACAGAAGAAAAACAAATTTAATTACCTATGTATGGGAGCCCCCAAAAAGGTGAGACTCAAAGAAGTAACCACAGCAGGAAGATTTCATGCCCTTTAGACCAAGAAACAATAGATTGAGGAAGACTTGACAAGGCTGAGGGGTTTGGGCTAGAGGTAGTAAATGGTGAGGAAACAACAAGATTTGTTTACACAGCCTTCTCAGCCCTAAATGCCCTGTCTCAGATGATAAGGCTGGCTTCTGGTTCAAGCAGCATACAGATCAGCTGGAAAGTCATCTCCTGCTCTCAAGGGGACAAAGGAGAGCCAGAGTGTCTTTCTTGCAATGGCTGTTTCTCAAGCACCTGTAATTCAAAATAATCAATATGCCAATGTGCCATATTCTGAGGTGACATAATCTGAACCTCTAGACAAGATAGCTCATTTGGAAGTAGAGACGGTTTTACATCTTCCCAACCAATCTGCATCCATTTTATTTCTTTTCTTGCCTAATGGTTCTGGCTAAAATCTCCAGTACTTTCTGGAATCAAAGTGGCAAGAGGAGACATCCTTCTTTGGTTCCTCCTCTTCAGGGGAAAGCATTCCAGTCTTCCACCATTAGATATAATATTGGCTGTGGGATTTCAACGCATGCTCACTATGAAGTAAGGAAATATCTTCCTATTTTTGTTATGCTGAATGTTTTAATTATGAAAGAGTACTGATTTTTGTCAATTATTTTCCTGAGTCTATTGATTTCATTGATAGATTTCAGTCTATCTTGCAATTTTTGATTTTTGATATCCTTTATCACATTAATAGATTTTGATATTTTAACCCAACCTTTCATCCCTATAATAAACCCACTTGGTCATGGTGTATAAATCTTTTTTTATGTTGCTGTTTTGGGCTTCCTAGAATTTGTTGAGGATTTTTACATTAATATTCGCAAAAGAAATAGGGGTGTCGTTTTTTTGGTGATGCACTTGGTTTGGGTATGAGAGTAGTACTGCCACACCCACCCACAATAATCTTAAAAGTTTATATAGAGGCTTTAATGGGGTTCAGTAATATCTACGGTCCAGATGGTCTCAACAACACATTATTCTCTCCAGGCTGCATCCTTGGAATGGCTCTTAGTTTGGGAACAGTGGGTGGAATGTATATTCCCAGGACAGGGGCGTGTGTAAGGAGCCTCCAGTTGCCCAAGTCCAGCTGGAGTGTCAACCAGTGGTCACATCCTCTCAGTGACCTCCTTCGCTTCTTGAATCTTGGGTAAACTCATTCCATTGGGGTCATTTTTCAAGGTCATATGGAAAATCTCTCTCTCCATACCTACAAACAACTCCCTATGCTTCCTCAGTGGGGCTCTTTCTTTGGCTTAGACGAGCACCTTGTAGGATATTGTTGAATTCTCATGGGCTTCCCTTAGTGCAGGTGGATGCACCAACACTCTAAGTGTATCCTGGCCCTCATGTTTGCCATGATGGAGAAGGACAGGAACCACATGCTATTAGCAAAGACAACCTTAAGGCGTCATGTCTATTGTGCCCACCACAGCGATTAAAGGACCTTTGAGAGCACCATGATGTGACACCAAGAGAAAGCCAGACTGGCCCTAATGTTACCTATGAGAAGCAGAACAATTTATCAATTCATCAGTGCAGGAAGCACATCCCCGGTTTCTGCCCAGATGGGGCCACTACTGAAACTGTACAGTTCCCACAGATGCAAATGAAGTTGGGGGCGGGGGGGGGGCGGGGGGGGGCAGTGATGAAATGTAGTTTCCTCAGCATCATGTTTCTGACAGTGTGTGAGAGTGGAGCCAGACTCATGCATCTCCCCAGGCGAATGCACATTCTTAGTATAGTGCGCCCTTTATTTGAGGTGAAGACAAGGAGCTAGCAGCAAAAAAACAGAGGCTGGGCGACTGGCCCCATGGCCAATTGGTTGAGTTCACATCCTCAGCTTCGGCAGCCTGGGGTTTGCATCCTGGGTGCAGATCTATGCACCGCTCATCAACACGTGCTGTCGCAACATTCCATGTAGAAGAACTAGAATGATCTACAACTAGGATGTACAACTATGTCCTGGGGCTTTGGGGAGAAGAAGGAAAAAGAAAAAGAGGAAGACTGGCAAGAGATGTTAGCTCAGGGCCAATGTTCCTCACAAAAAAAAGGATCCAAAAAAAAAAACCAAAACAAAACAGAGGCATTCCTGACTTAGGAAATCAGAGTGATTTCCAGGAAATCTGCTTCTAGACTATTATTTTCCAGATAGTTCTTAAAGGGAAGATGAAAAACAGATAATGAAATGGAAATATCTTCTGCATCTCTCAATGCCTGATGCTAAATACCCACAGAACTTTTCTTTCTGCATTCTATGGATGACTGATTGACGATGCCACTGCCCAGCAATGTTCCCCCTTGTATGATGAGCACTAGTTGCAAATTGGGCCTTCCTATTCTTTTTTTTTTAACTTTTTTTTTTTTGAGAAAGATTAGCCCTGAGCTAACTGCTGCCAATCCTCCTCTTTTGCTGAGGAAGCCTGGCCCTGAGCTAACATCCGTGCCCATTTTCCTCTACTTTATATGTGGGACGCCTACCACAGCATGGCTTGCCAAGCGGTGCCATGTCCGCCCCTGGGATCTGAACCCTGAGCCACAGAAGCAGAACACGCACACTTAACCGCTGCGCCACCAGACCTGCCCCTGGGCCTTCCTCTTCTGTTTTCATTGTGATCAGTATAGTTCTTTGGCCCTGCCCCTCACTTTGCATTTGTCAGATGGCCTCCAGGAATACTTCTGTCCGTGGGTGAAGTGAAGTCCATGGTGAAGTTATTGCTGAAGTTCAGGTGGACTTGAGTGGTGCTGTTTGACTCAGATTGTATAGAAAGGGAGCATTTCCTCAGGGAATTGGGATAGGAAGTGTTCAGATATGGTATTTGTGCAGACTACGTGGAGAGGATGCCTGTCGTGTAGTGATTACAATATCGTCAAAATGAACGTTACTCTGTAGTATCACAGACTCACCAATCAGTGAGATGATTATTTAGACGAAACCAGTAGTCTAACAAGTCTCATTATAGTTGGATTAAGCAGTGTAACCACAAGTGAGGGTGGGTCATGACCACAGAGAGATTTAACTACCGTGAGAAAGAGCTCCTGTTTATATTTTCCTTGGGATACAAATATTTTGATGTCAGAGACATTTTCTAAATTTATCTATTCTGAATAACCAGAAGTCACTTTTCTTCTGAAATAATGGCTTATTTTTGCTCCCAATGCCCTTATTCTGAATCTGGCTGAAGTGTTGTAAGGATAGTCACCTAATGCGTCCCTGATACTGTAACTGAACTCAATGGGTTCACCTCTTCGTCAATTCTCGAGCCAAAAAGCACAAGCAAGGCAAAAGTGGGAAGAAAGGTTTATTACTTGCACAGGCAGGGGAGAATTCCGGGCATCTCTCCCAAGCAGTGTCTCCCCAAACAAGGGTTTGGGAGTCCGTTTATTGTGAGATCATAGCACAGTTCATGAATATTCAGTTACGGAAAAGGCAGGAGATCACGTTTGTTGCCTAACAGTCATGTTCCTTTAAGTCTCAAGGGTAGCATGTACACACGCTACTACATATATAGCATGATCTAGAAATGACTGCTTGGTCCCTCCCAGAGGAGGAGAATTTAACATGTTGACGAGATTATAATAGGGACATTTTACTTCAGAGCAACTTGAGGGGGCTAGAACTGGCTTCAGCTGGCCTGTTTGTGGGAACCTTTGGTGGTTAGGCTCTTCCTGGAACTTTCTGTCTGCAAACACTCAACAGATAATGTTAGTCTGTATCAGATTCTCAGTACACTCCCTGGTCACAGTATCTGCGCCTGTGTACCTTTTTGGCAAAACTTTGTCAGACACCAGTTGTCAACAAAGATCAACAGAGAGAGAGAGTAATCATTGCATGTGGTGAGGTGACTTTCAGTTGTGTGTTTGTAAAGAAGGATCGCAGTTCCAGGAGTCCCCTCCCAACACTACCTTTCAATGCAAATATCCCTGCAGAGGACGAGGTCTGGCTGGCATTCTGCTCAGACACCTAAACTCAGGGGCTGTCACTCAGACACAAGGGGGCGAGTCTTGCGAACTGTCCAATCAGAGGCGGCGCCGGGGCAGGTGGGTGGGGCGAAGCTCCGACCCCCCCGGAAGTTGCTGCTCGAGAAGCGCTGGGGACCGTGTCTCCCCGCCAGTAAAGGGCTTTTTGTGCTTCTGCCGCCTGTTCTGTCCAGTTGTAACCGGTACCGACCTCAGGAGTTGCAAGAAGGACGCCAGGGGACGCAGGAAACGTAGAAATGGTGAGACTTGGGGCCTGGAGTCAGGATTTGGGGGAAGAGTGTCTGGCCCAAAGTGGACTCTCCTTCTCGCTTCTGCCCTGCTCCGGGTCGTTTGTCTCCTGCTGTTAACGGTCCTGGTGGCTCTGCCGCAGCCTCTATCCCGCTGTGACCTGCACTGGCCGTGGGGGTCCTAGGAAGGACTCAGGGGACCCAGGAGTCCTAGAAATGGTGAGTGTGCGGCCCCGGGGTGAGGACGCGGGAGGAGCGGCTGGTGGGAAGCGGCGGGGCGGGCCCGGCCTCCCGCGGTCCCCTCCGGACTCTGCGGCCCCGAGTCCGCGGTGGCGCCGCTCGGCCCTCAGGCCCCCCCGGCCGCAGCGTGGGGGCGGGGCCGGCAGCCGGGCCCCGGGCGTCCTGTGGTCCCTGCGCGCGGCGACTTGGGCCGGAGCGTCTCTGGGCCGCTGTGCGCCCGCAGCCCCGCGTGTCCCAGACGGTGGGGGGCCCGCGGGAGGGCCCGCAGGACAGTCGGGCGTCGGTCTCCGGGGTCCGTGCGCGGAGGGGCTGCGGTTTTGGGGTCCCCAGGGCCTCCTTTCTCCCCAGGGGAAACCCTTTTTCTCTTGAACTTTCCATGGATTTGGGGAGCAGAGCTCAATCCACGACCGTGTCCCGCAGTCTAGGTCTTCCTCGGGCTGACAACAAATGCCTGAATTTCCAGTCGCTCCCCAAATTCCCAGATGCCAGCGTCCTGCCTCTGATTCACAGCATTACTATCAACTATTTGTCCTTGTTGTATTTGAAACAGACGCAATATTTTAATTATCATTTTCTCACAGTCAATGAATGGCTGTTTTAAAAAGATTTATTTTGTGTGTGTGGATATTTTACATGAGTGAAAAGCAGCCTCTAACCACCTGGAAGTACGTTATGTGAAATCCTGGGGCGTCTCCCCAGGATCTTCCTGGGCGCAGACATCCTGTGGGAAGTCCTCTGGGTGCAGGTTCCTCTTGAGAAAGTTTCCTGGATGATCTGTCCTGTCAGCACTGTCCCTACCTGAATTAGTCACCTTTAAAAGATTTATTCACTGTATTTTAGTCTCAGTTTTCCAATGAATAAAAATAAACTTAATCAACATGACTTGAAACATGATATAAAATATTTCCAAAGAAGGAAGAGGTGAATTTCAGAAAAAATAAGACATTCCAGTTTTACACTGGATGTACTAGATTCTTCTTTCCTTCTTTTCCTCCCATCCAGGGCAGTAATATTCTGAGGTCTGTTCTTTTATTTTGGGGGAGTTCAAATGGATTTCCAGGGCTTAGACTTGCAGACCTGAAGTGTGAAGTAGAATTAATAGTTTATTTAAAAATTTACTGTCATGGAAGTAATACTATATTAGCATCATTTTTGTTTCCAGAATGCAATACATTCTTGTGGGATTTCTTTTAGAGCTAGCAGATTGCCATACAATTTTCTTCCCTCATTTCCACATAAAGACTGGTTTGACTGTTTCAGCTGGATTGCCTCAAACCCTGGGTTTCGTGTATTTAAAATATTGCTGGTGGTCCAAAAAACTCCAGTGGGGGCAGAGGCCTGAGGGCAGTGAATCTAAGCTAAGGCCCTTGGGCCTGCAGAGGGAAGGCCTTGAAGGCCCAGTTGTCCTTCCTGGGGAGCCTCCCCTGCAGGTGTCCTACTGCTCACACCGCCATGGAAGGAGCCTTTGTCCTGAGAGGAGCTGCAGAGCCCTGGAAAGCTGGGGGTGCACGTGCTCATGGGGTGGGGAGTGACGCCCTTTCTGAGGTTGTCACTGGTTTCCTTGGGCCTGTTTCTAGACGTAATTGGAGTTTTGCATCCACAGTGTAGCTGCACTCAGAGAGTGATTTGTTTACACTGAGAAAGTCTGTGAGAGTCAGGAGCTCTGGGTCCTGGATTAGGGCCCATTAATGTGGGGTCCATTTGGGTCAGAACCTTAAACTGGATCCAGCTGAGTTTCCTCACTGTGAGAAGGGAGCCTGAGAGAGTGAGCATGTGCACTGTTCCCTGGGGAGAGGAGGGTGTGTGGGGCTCCCAGAGCTCCTTCCTGTGGCTGCTCAGGTGCCCTCCCCTCCTTCTCCAGGGACTGACCCCCTCCAGGGTTCTGTCTCCACCAGGAGAGTGAGGAACATGGGACCTTCTGAGTGTGGCTTTCCTTCTGTCCTGTGGGAAGCAGGCTGCTCATCTGAGCTGATTCCAGTATTTGTATTTCTTTCCTTTGGATCCCTTTATCGATGGACTAGTGCAGCCCTTTGGCTCTGGTTTCCCTTAGCACTCGGGCCCTGAGACTGTAAGTTGATTGAGAGAGAGGATGTGAGGAAAGCAAGCAAATGTTTTCATTTTAGATCAGTTTTTCTATGTGCATGTCTGCAGAGAACATAGAAATTTGAAAGGCTAAAACAATTGAAATGCTATTTTAATTGATGTGAGGGAAACTTCTAAAAACTGATGTAAATCTTTGAAAATCCGGTACATTTAAGGGTTTAAGCACAAAACCTGATTGCCTTATATTATGCCATTCGTCCCTGCACATATCCCGAGTGTGGGGTGTAGGGGAAGGACGGACCAGGGTGCTGCGTGTCCTGTTACTCAGAGATGTGAAAAGTTTATTCTGCATGGTTTACGCTTTTGTATCTATTAGTGTTTAAAGGAATTAAATCTTACAATGGTTTCCTATGTACAAGAGTTAAAATTAAAGAATATAAATATCTCTGTTTATTTGAAATAAATCTGTAAGACAGCAAAGTCTTACTTACGATGACTTGCTGTGGACATGTCCTAGTCTCCTCCAGCACTTTTACGCCAGCCACCCCCAAATATACAGTTTTGATCGTTTTTGAGCCTCCTGTTCGTGTCTTTGTATAAATCCATCGAGAATATATATTTTTCTTACCCACTTTGTCCTTGTAAGGAGCAGTCAGACTCCACATTTTTGGGTGACTGCTCACAGCTTAGGTCTCACCCACCCTCCTCCCCTTGTGCCCCCACCTGGACAAGCTGAGGAGGAAGCCTGGGTGCTCTCTCCTCTAGAGCAGGCAGGAGATTCCCACCACCCCAGCCCCTGCCTGTGTGCAGAGCTCTTGCCCCGGCCCCACCCCCAGGCCCAGTGAAGCCCCAGGCCAGGCTCCATTCCTTGCTTTCTGAGCCCTGTCAGAGCTGCTTGAGAGGCTGGCCCTGCCCTCCCCTCAGACCTCTATTATGTGAGTCCTAAGCCTTTTCCTACCTTGTGTGTGTGTGTGCCACCCTGGCATGACTCTCAACAAGGGAACCACCCCTCTTCAGGGACCATAACAGTTGGCGCCCTGAGCAGCATGTCCAGACATGACCCCACCCGTGGGTCTGTCTTCTCTTGCTCTGACTTGCTCCCCTGCTCTGCTGCCTGGTGGTGACATGCACTGTGGGCTGCTGTTTGCTGGGAAGCTCGTGCGGTGATCTGTGCTGCCCCGTGTTGCATTGTTGACCCACCAACCTCAGTTCTAGGTTCAGCTGAGCAGAGTGGGCAGTTTCAAGAATTTATAGGCATTTGGGAGCAGGACTGTGGGATTGGGGCCTCCTTAAATGAGTCCTGAGTCACTGTCTTTGCAAGGATTTATCTGTGTGTCAGAGTGAAACTGTGACAAAAGCTGGTAGCCTGACATACCCCAGGGATAGGGTGTGTCTACGAAAATAATCCATAACCAATCTATAAATGAAAATTTGGGTGAGTTTATTCTGAGCTTAAATCTTAGGATTATAACCCGGGAGAGTCTTTCCACAAAGGATCAGAGCACTCCAAAGAAGTGGGGGTACATAGGTTGGTTATATACCCTCAAAGAGGGTGTTTCACATATGATTGAAATGTCCCTCCCACAACAGTCACAAGATTGCCCTGTCTGCACAGCGCTTGATGGACACAGCAGGTAGTGGGGTCTGCTATCTTCGTGGGTGTAGCAGGAGGCAAGTCTATTGTCTCAAGCTTGGCGGTCACAGGTGAGCGCAGCAATCAGTTTCTAGCCTAAGGAAAGCTGCTTAATCCTTAAGGAGACGCCAATGTTGGGAGGAGGAGGGAAGTTGCACCTTTATCTCAAGGGTCTTTTGCTCTTGCCATAGGGAATCTCTAAAGCAGATATACAAGGCATGCTCAATGGCCTCGGTCAGGCCCTTTTGGAAAGACAAGGTCAGGCTGAATTAGGTTTACACCAAAATGGCTTCCTCATATATTCCAATATATCCTATTACTTGCCTTTTTTTTTTTTTAAAGATTTTATTTTTTTCCTTTTTCTCCCCAAAGCCCCCCAGTACATAGTTGTATATTCTTCGTTGTGGGTCCTTCTAGTTGTGGCATGTGGGACGCTGCCTCAGCATGGTTTGATGAGCAGTGCCATGTCCGCGCCCAGGACTGGAACCAACGAAACACTGGGCCGCCTGCAGCGGAGCGCGCGAACTTAACCACTCGGCCATGGGGTCAGCCCCTATTACTTGCCATTTTTATTTGACAGGTGGTAGACAGGGACTATACACTTTGCCAGAGGTGGGTCCGTCAGATGGTCACTCCTGAAAGAGCTGTCATTTTAAAAAAAGGGAAGAGATGGGGAAAGGCAGGGAGTGGGTGGCGGGGTGAGTCCACACTCCTAACACCAGAGGGCTCCCCAGGCCCCTTCAGTACCTCTGCTGCTGCTGCTGCCTCTACTGCCACAAAGATCCTGACCTAGAGGGTTATAGGGGACACACTCATGGCACCTCTCTGGCACAAGGGATTAGTTCAAACCTGACTTAAGCCCAGAGTTTAAACTCTATAAAGCAACCAGTTGTCATGGGGGAGGCTCCTAACCCTGATGGCACTGTTTTGAGGCTCTTGGGTGGAAAAAATTTATAAATAGCAGGGTAGGGAGGCACTCCCTCTCCTGCAGTGTATCCATGATGAAGAAAACAAAACAGGAAAGATCAGGAGGAAGGAAACAGTAGATAAAATACTGAAACAAAGGTCCACAATTTGACCCAATTGGGAATCCAGAATATACTAAAAGAGTTTACATATCAAAACAGATAGAGGTACACTGCTTGACTTTTGGGCCTCTACAACATCGGTTCTGAATTAATTTTGCTCTCCGATGTAATGCACTAATTCAGAAACATTCAAGCAGTTGATCAATATGTGTCAAATTATAGTAATACTTGGGATTCCACTAAATTTAAGGAAGGTGCCCCTGATGATCTTAGGG